ATCCTTTGCTCTAAACTTTCTGTAAATATAAAACACAAAAAAATTATTCAACAAATAGTCAACAAATATATTGATTTAAATACTGACCACAAACTGGACGCTCGAGCAAAGGTTTATACACCTTATGGCGGACTCCCATACATAAGGTATCGATTAGTGAACTATTATCTGACAAGTCTTCGGATGTATTGCGAGATTTAAAATCATTTGTTAAACTATTTAACATTAATTTAGTTACATCTGTTTTAACCATTTGTTTAGTCCATAAACTCTGCAGATGTTTGATGAGCTGATCCGACGCTTTGGTATCATATATCCACTCTTTAACATCTTTTTCATCATAACTGCAGTCAAACAAAATCAATGGAAAGTCAGCGGACATACAATACTGTGGTTTATTGGGATGTTTGTCCACATCTAGTAATTGTTGGATTATTTCGGGCTCTTCTCTGTGTTGGCCGACGAGGAATAGAAGAGCGACAATACATCGAATTTGATGCCATATGAATGCCGTTCCGGTGATTGTCAACGCATACATCCAATAGGTCTCATCACCCAAAGAGATATCACAATTAGCATCACACGAATATCGCTGTAAATCAATGGACAATATATTCCTCCTATAGTTGACGACACCGTTGTTGACATCCATTTTGCAAAAGTTTCTGAAGTCGTGTTCGCCCAACAGATAATTACAGCCAATTCTCATGCGCTCGACATCCAGTCCTCCCTTTGGGAACAAATACTTATAACTTCTGGACTTGCAGTCAAACCGTGCGCTGAAATCCGTCTCAACGGGTGTCCAACAAATGACACGAATATTTTCGGGCAAAACATTGTTTAAAATCATAATATAATTGATTTCTTGCGGCTCAGAGTCACCGTTCGTCTCGTCGTCGCGACCGTCATCAACATAATCGTCGGGTGTTATCACGCCTTTGCCTGCCTTCAGATTAGTCCTCACGTCCAGCGATATGGTCTGCGAGAAGGCGGACACGCCTTTGTCAGTGCGACCGCAGCGGTGATAGTTGGATGTCTGACGGCTGCGGATGAGTCGGGTCTTGACGAGCGCCTCAAACAGAGCCCATTCGACCGTATGGTTGGTGTCCTCCTGAGCGGCAAATCCCTGATAATCCCATCCAAAGTACAGCGCTT